TGTGCTCTTCAATCGTCATCCACCTGCCTTGCTCCCAAAGCCAACTTAAATGCCGAGTTTTGCCTGATTAAGGCAGAGATATAAACCTAATAGCACACACTGTGCCTAAATGTTAGCCAAATACATGCATAAAATTGGTAGGATATTTCATTTTCAGTGAGAAATTGAATCAATTCACTCCTACTCTTTACACTGAGGCCCCTTTATGGAGGAGCGATTTAGGACAGATGATGAATTGATTGTGGAATTGTATTCTATGTTGTTTCATTTATTTCGAGAGAACCATTAACCACTCAATTATTATCTATGAGCTTGTAGTGGGAAATGTTAAAATAAGCTGCTTGTTGCTGGAAAAATTAAAACAACTTTTCAGTACGTGTTTCATTAAATTAATTCCCCAGATCGATAAACATAGACATTTCACCTTAAGTAGACCACGTCAATTTCTACGGCATACACGAAGCCGTTAGGGATCAAACACAATTACCACACTTTTACTCCATTTCATAATCCATTCAACTGTCGTTGATTATTGATTTTCTTTCGAATAAATGAATTAAAGCTAGAAACCTTGAAACACAACAAGTGGCACTAGTGTCTTTATAACATTTTCAAATCAGTGTCAGTATATTTATTGCTGTTTATCGTACAACGAATGCTGCATCTTACCTAAAAATCTGTGGAATTTCTTCGGCGGGTAAGACCTCGTAACACCAGTCATTCAAAGAGTGAACTGGTACAGAGAGGGCACTTTGAGCCTCTTTTATATTAGAAATAAGATGTAACCATCTGGATTGGTGGGTTTCATGGAAATCTGCTCCACTGTTATTTTGGAGGCCGCTTGCTTTCACTTATGAACCATCTCGACTTTGTAGCAATTTTAAATAGGTATTTTTCGAAAGCATAAAATTAAGTTAATGTTCGCTGATGCATATACATCAATGCGGAGGATCGTCCGAGTTGGAAGATTACTTTTTATCTGAGGTGGCCGAATGTAATTCCACCATAAGGCTGTCTCTCCCTCTCATTCTCTACACAATCGGAATTTTTCCGGCTACCCCAATGAAAAATGGAACGATCGGATAACCGCAAAACATTCAGAAGTCCATCCAACACATATACTCTAGCAATGTCTCAATCTTTGTAAGATCTCTATAATTCTGTCCTTTATACATATCTCCTATATATTATGCTAAATATGTTGCTTCATACTAACTTACCTTTGCAATTGGGCAGAATTCGGAGGAAATTATTAGGTAAATATGGTTAAAGCATGAATATGTAAATCCTAAGTACAAATCCACGATGTTCGGTGCATCGGTCATCTCAGTTTCGTCGTTTAACCACCGATAAAAGTGGGCCATGATGGACCTATTTTGAAGGTGTATCACCATGGAGAGATGTCAACGATGCACCGTCTAAATTCTGAAATGCATTCTGGCAGTACAACTAAGACGGAATGGACGATGGATAGAAATGGAGAGACTGATCAACTCTTTCATTCCAACATACAAACACTTTGCACTTGAAATGGAGATTTGCATTCTCCGAATAAGTATCATCTCGGCATCATTGGACAAATCGTTATACACTGTACATTGTCGTCTATCGAAATATATTCGAAATAAAAATACAACTCCACAGTTTCTTCTCACTCTCACTCTACGAAATCGACCACTCAAATTCTGTTCAACGAAACTTCCTCTCATTTACCCCCTCTCACCCTAACAACCCCCCCCCCGGAACTCAAAAACAATAGTGGAATGTAAAAGCAGAAATGGAATTGAATGCAGAAAACACTACCGCGAATCCACTCGTACGCCAACTAACCCTCTTTAGCCAGGCCTAAAAGTCAGCCACCGCCAATCTAAACGCAGATATCATTCATGGTTGCATACTTGTCTTCGCTCGAACACCCATAATTATGCATTCAAAGAAATTAACGCAAGAGGATCGTACCCTGAAGCAGAAGGTTCCTGTGAATCATGGAGAGCAGATTGAGTAATGGGCAATCTTCTGCGTGCCCATGTTCCAATTGAGACAGGGTGATCTGATGAGGAAGCAGGATCTGCAGAATCTCTAAATGAAGAAGAAATATATTTAGTCATTATTAATGACGAAAATTACACACTCATCTTAAATTCAAAAGGAAAACGGAGCGTCGTCTAACTCGAAGCCAATATTCAACAGCTCTAAGGGGAACTTCCACGGGGTTAAATAAAAAAAGATACTTGCAAAATTTCAATCATATGCATTGAAGATAAAGGAAGATGTGAATTTCAAGAATAACTCTATGGTATTTGATCCATGTGTCTTCTCTTGTTCTTCATTTAACCCTTTAAAAGTTTTGGATGTTTGCTCTTGGAGAAATGTCAAAACCGCTCTGAATGAACGGATTATGAATTTTATTCTGATCCCCACACATTTACAGACGTAGGTATGATTAAGTTGAAGCCATTTAAACTAATATAACGACTGAAAGTGCTTAAACGGCAGAAGGGATGATGAATAGAAGAGAGGGGGAGAGGGTACCTGGCTAACTATTTCATTCTAACACGCGAACACATTGAATTTGGAATTGTGATTTGCACTCTCCCACCTCTCCAAACATTTGCGATATTTTTGCTCATTAAAATGTGCTCCACTGCAAGTTCCCTCCACTCTGAGCATCAGCTATGGTAAAGCTGAACTGCTTCTTCATGCTCTGGTATGGGAAGACTGGAATATTTGTTAATGCACTCCAAAAAAATTACTGGCAGGAATATGATGGATACAGCAGATTATTGGACGATGAGGGGGAACGTCAATTCAAGGCAGCATTTATTATTTATACAAAATTACAATGAAGGAGCTTGTCCACCTTTGCTCTCAAGCGAATCGTACCAGTCCACATATTATTAATTTATTAATTTCAAATGCCAATCGTTGTGATGATTATCATTAGTCCTTTAGTTGACTTCGGGTTTCATAGAGAGAAGGAACAGTATAGTGAAAAGATTCGAGAAGGGGAAAGAAGAGTGATTCACAGATGTAAAGAGACAGGTGGACATAAATGCAGAGAGAAGGTAAGATGAGTACTGTTGAAGTGGTTGAATTAGACATACAGTGGGGTCATGGTAGTTTGAAGTCAGAAGTAAACTGCCGAATAATAGACTTTCTTGCCGTATGAGTATACACTGCCCAGGGTGCACCACATGGAGTTAAGTCCATCACGCACCCCGTCCACAGATTATAAAACAGCATAGTCAACAATTCGTAAGCTGCAAATACTCGACTTTTTTAACTTTGATTTTCCACCTCGGCTCTGTGAAATCCACGGTGAGGGAACTATCAAAACGGCTGCCATTTGAAATAAAAAAATAAATAAATTTCAAGCTCTTTAGGGAGAGCAATTTTGCGCGTTTGCAGAAGTGTGACGATTTCCGATTAATTGAGTTCTTTCTGAAGCCACATACTGTATTCTATAATATTCCGACAATAATGTGCCATTACACGCTTAATTCACGATGCTATTTATAAATATGATTGACATTAGTCACTCGATGAGAGTTTCTTGAGTACTCACAAATATGTTCTTACGTAAGTGCAAGAGGAGACTCCAAAATGCATAGCCTACATGTTGCATTTTACATTGGAATCATCATGCCTGCTCGCATTGAAATGACATGCTGAGATGAATTTATTGCTCCTTTTAATTAACTTTAAGATCTGCTGATGTGTGTTGGCATGCATTGGTGGACCATTATCCACAAATTTCGGACATGAATTCTCATCCAGATATTACAAACTACATCCACAATGTCTATCTTACCATCACTAATTCGTCTAGCAAGCAGCCTTACTTATAACAAATGAGTAGACAAATTCGGACGAATGTGGAATTCATTCACTATAACTGATAAATCACTCATCACATCCTTCATTATTTATCCTATTCAATTGATGACTCATTAAGGCACAAATCGAATTACTAGAAACCTACGAAGACATTCATTCTTCTCACTAACCATGTTCCAAAATTGGACTTAATAAAGAAATTCACACTTTCTAGCAGAATCATCGATAGCTTTATTACACTCTATGACATTAGCGAATGAAATTTGATCAATGCAATGTGTACCTTGAAAAAGAAAAATCTGAACGTGATTGAGTTTCCGTGGTGCCTATGTCCGATTGTTGAAGGGATTGAATCGACGGCGACTGGGACAATGATGATTGTGATGGCTTCTGTGAAGACACGATCTCTGACACTGCAGCTGAAGATTCCCTAAACAGGAACAAACATCATTAGTAATTAGGAAAATAACTTGGTAGTTAGAAGCCTCATCAGGGCGAAATATGCAAAAAATGGATTAATAGAAATATCAGATATCACAAAATGTCATTGGTCATTTCATCTTCACAACATAGTTCACTTGAGCCAGGGTAGTGCGTGAGTTTGGATGAGCCTTGAAAACGTATCAAGTGATGTCATGAACAAACGAAGTCGCTCCTTCTCGTACCTAAATGATAATTGAAATTCAATAGCCTCCTCTTCATTTCCTCAGACAGGCGACACTCACTACTTAGAGAGAAATCGAACATCCTCAGACAAGATCTCTATAACTGTCTCTCATTTTCCCATATCTCCTTCATTTTATGGTCCATATGCTGCTTCGTACCAACTTATCCTACCAACATGGTTTTTCTTAACTAAGAACTACTCAGATCCCGTCTCCTCCAATCCCAAGAAATTGGACTTGTGAAAACATGTGCTGTCTTGATCTGTCATATCTCTAAAGTATTTAGAATTGTTTCACACGAAGGAGACTTCAATCGAAGACTGAATAATATCACATTAGTAGTGAA